TCTGGTAACGCTGCCCTCTCATTCATTGATCTGCTAACCGCTATGTTATGCGCACGTGTTCTGATAATAATAGCTTTCTAGGACTAAACATTATTTGGATAATTGGTAAAAAAAAGTTAAATATCTTAACCCTACTGTTAGACCTACCCGAAAAACTAAAAAGAAATTTATTTAATTTGAAGGCCTGTCGTTATTTTTTTATTTGTGCTGTCATTTATTAATTTCTTTATTTTTCTTATTTTATTACTGACTGCTTGTCATTTTTTTTATTCAATTCAAAGTTTGAAATCAAGCTATCTCGTGCTACTGCACCAAAATTACCCCACTGTAAAATTAAAAATACACTGAGTGAGCAAAAATTTGTGAGATAGCTAGTTATAATGGTAATTAAATAATGTTTACATATGTATAAAAGCCTACATTAAAATCTGTCATATAAATTGGTCTCTTCATTAGAAATTAACCTACTGATTGCCACCATTGATGGACAATTTTTTTAAATAATATTAAAAATATCTGTATGACATTATATTCTGCAGTTCTTCTCTGTTGTACCCAATATCTATACTTTTCAAATTATCATATCGAAGTTAGAAATTCAAATATTGTGACAATTAATTTTGTAGGGTGCCACAAGTTTGTTAAAAATTTCCAAAGGGTGCCGTGACTAAAAAAAGGTTGGGAAACACTGGTCTAACCTACATCTAGTGTATGCCTGGGTGAGGTTTTGTTTGGTTTTTGTGATATACGCAAAAATAATCACAAATTGCATATTGTTTAAACGACAATTACGATATTATCGTAGACGATATATATCACACACCCCTATGTTGGGGTCGACAAAAACAGAATATATGATAAAAAAAGACTAATTTGCATGGGTAACTAACCTAATTAATTAATTAATTAAAATTAAGTAATTAAAAGGATGATGGTATTTTTACAGTTTTTTTTTTTACTTTTCAGTAGTACACCATTTTAAAAGCATAGTTGCCTTGGTTCTTAGTTGTGATCGTTAATGATCTTGATTACATGATGGTGTTTTTACAGTTTTTTTTTACTTTTCAGTAGTACACCATTTTAAAAGCATAGTTGCCTTGGTTCTTAGTTGTGATCGTTAATGATCTTGATTATTCAGTCAATTTTTTTTTTCTTCTCTCAGAGTAATTGTTTCGTGTCTCTCCTGCTTGTAGGTGTTGTGATAAGCGCTTCTGGACACAGATAGATCTGAGTCGGTGTCGGGCACTCAGTCCTCAGGCTCTGTCAGCCATCATAAAACAACAACCTGTGGCACTTGACCTCTCCTGGACACCAGTATCAAAGAAACAGATTGCCTGGCTCATTCATCACCTCCCAAGTACAGTTTACCCAAATCTCAGCCTTTTATAGATCCTAACAGTCTTAACTCAAATGAAATTGCTTAAAAAATAAAACATGCATCACAGTCGAGACTACAATACTCTCCCTTGCTCTCATTTTTTTTCCCACAGGTTTGAAAGATCTAATAATGTCAGGTTGCTCGTCATTATGTGTGTCAGCGTTAAGTACACAGAGCTGTCCGGGTTTGCGAACCCTTGACCTGAGCTGGGCCGTGGGTGTCAAAGATTCACAAATAAAAGACATTGTGCAGCCAAGTGAGACTCATAATCATTATTAATGAGACTGCGTGTTTAGTGTTTTCACTATAAAAAAAAATTCACTCTCCTCTTTCACCTCTGCTTTCTTTTGTCACACAGGCAGTGAAAGTCGCAGTCGACTGAGAGGTTTGCTCACTCTGCGCTTGGCTGGTTTGGATGTGAATGACTCCACCCTGAAGATGATCGTCAGACATATGCCTTCACTGCGCCGGTTAGATTTGTCCCACTGCCAGGGGCTCACAGACCAGTCCATCAACCTGCTCACCGCTACTGGCTGCAACACTCGCAACACACTCAGACAGCTCAATCTTTCAGGTACCCTCCACCTTCTGAAAATACCTATATGTTCTGCCCACATTGTGTTCCGGTTATCCTTGTGGTGCCCAAGAAAACTAGTGCTGCAAACACAAAATCTTGGTAACACTTTAGTTAAGGGACCAATTCTCACTTTTAACTTGTTGCTTCGTAGCATGTGTATTACTAGCATATTGGCTGTTTCATCATTTAATTGAACATGAAACTTTCTAGCTTCTCCCTGTCACAAGAAGGCAATAATAAGAATTTAATTAAAGGGGTGGTTGATTGCGATGTAACTTTTTTTAATGTTAGTGTGTAATGTTGCTGTTAGAGCATAAACAATATCTGCAAAGTTGCAGCGCTGAAAGTTCGATGCAAACGGAGATATCAACTTTTAAAATTCTGGCAGTTTAATGCCTACAAAATGTTTAGGGTGGGATGTTTAGATGCGCACTAGAGGCGGTTTAGCCAATCACAACACACTGGGCTAGCTAACCAATCAGAGCCCATCGGCCTAGAAAAAAAAACTGTCAACCACCCCTTAAAGCACAATATATAGATTTTTTTTGTTCTATATGGATATATGGTATTAACTTTGTTTGGCTTAAAGGGGTCATATGATGCTGCTAAAAAGAACATTATTTTGTGTCCAGTGGCAAATCCTTTAAATGAAAACTTACGTGAGTCAGAACTGCCGGCATTTTAGTCTTAACGTTACTCTCCCAGGATCAGTAAACAGTCCTCCATAAAATTGAAATTTTATAAAGAATATCTCTTTGGATTTGAGACTTTAGTCTTTGCAACTTTACAGATCTTCTTTATGCACCAAGAGCTTGTAACACTCGAAAGAGAAAGGAAAAATTGAAATCACATCATATGACCACTTTAAAGAAATAGTTTACCAAAAATTTCAATTTGATGACATTTTGCTCATCCTCAGGGCATCGGAGATGTAAATGAGTTCTTCATCAGAACAGATTTAGAGATATTGCATGATAATTATGGATCCTCTGCAGTGAATGGGTGCCGTCAAAGTTCAAACGGCTGATAAAAACATCACAATAATCCACAAGTAATCCAAGCTATCAGTTAACAGATTGTGAAGTGAAAAGCTGAGTTTTTAATAAACAAATCCATCATTAAGGCATTTTATCTTTAAATTATTGCTCCTGGCCAAAATCCATTCCTTGTTCCAGAGGAAAAGTCCATCCCCTTTTGTCCTCTCGCATCAAAACCCACAGACATATTTGTGACCCTGGAGCACAAAACCAGTCTAAAGTCGCTGGGGTATATTTGTAGCAATAGCCATACATTGTATGGGTCAAAATTATTGATTTTTCTTTTATGCAAAAAAATCATTAAAATATTAATGTTCCATGAAGATATTTTGTCAATTTCCTACTGTAAATATATTAAAACTTAATTTTTGATTAGTAATATGCATTGCTAAGGACTTAATTTGGACAACTTTAAATGCGATTTTCTCAGTATTTAGATTTTTTTGCACCCGCAGGTTCCAGATTTTCAAATAGTTGTATCTCGGCCAAATATTGTCCTATCCTAACAAACCATACATCAATGGAAAGATTATTTATTCAGCTTTCAGATGATGCATACATCTTAATTTCTAAAAATTGACCCTTATGACTGGTTTTCTGGTCCAGGGTCACATTTGCTTAGAACTGTTTTTGCTGTTTTTGCTTTGTGCATATTTCTCTCCTGATTCAGACGAGAGGACTTTTCACTGCAGAAAGCAGTATTATGGATAGAGGTATTTTAGCTGGAAACAACAGTTTGAAGTGAAAAAAACATTTCGATGGATTTGTTTCTTGCAAACAATTATTGTGATGTTTTTATCAGCTGTTTGGACTCTCATTTTGATGGTACCCATTCAATGCAGAGGATCCATTGGTGAGCAAGTGATGTAATGATAAATTTAACTCACAGTTGGTGGTTTAACCTTTCTCTCTCTCTCTCTCTAGGTTGTAGTAAGTTGACAGATGCTTGTCTGTCCTATATGAAGCGACTATCGGCTCTGGTTCTGTTGGATCTGCGGGGCTGTAGGAACGTGACTCGACGCGGCTGTGAAAACTTAATCTCTGACCTGTCCTACTGCACCGTATTCTGCCTGACCGAGGACAAACTCATTCAGAGAATATCATAACATGCACACACAAACACACACATATACATACACACACAGTCTCCGCACAGCTCTGCTTAGCGAGCTCACGAGTGCTCCATCCCACTCAATGTAGGCTCATCTGGCCTCAATGGGAGGATGAGGCTGAAGAAAAGAGACGGATGGAAGGATATGGCCTGCTGTTCTAGAAGAAGTGTAAAAACAGGCTGACAGGAGAGGTTATTTTCAGCGCTGTCTTCAAGTAAAGTGGTAAAGGATTTTATTCCCACAACCCATGAGACTGATGCAGACACATCCAGTGTGTGGCTTTTTCTTCTCTGGGCATTCAGCCTAATCCAGAGTGACTCCTTCAGAGGATTTTGCTGATATGCTTGAAACTGAACTTTACAGTCCAGCCCAGGTGGGATTTGGTCAAGAGATTCGATCCATGTGTGGCCGCTGACGTTGCAGCAAATTGAAGCAAGGAGAAAGAAAATGACAGACATGGCACGTCCTGATAGTTCTCAACTGCCACAACTTGATCAAAGAATATAGTGGCAACACAGGATGAATCTAAATCTGAATCATAAAGACTTCAGCATACCGATCCAGATCGTTCACTCATGCTTTCTTAGTGACTTTGTCTGAACGCAGATTTTGGTCGTTCAACCTTTCCGAAGGTTCTGCTGCCTGGATGTTTGTAGACATTTAACACCACACGAAGTTTTTACTCGCTCGCACCTAACAAAAACCACTCTTTCTTTGTTTTCTTTCGTCTGATGTTTTGTTCTTCTGCTTCAGTCATCTCAAATGGGTGATTCACCTGCATTCTCCTGTCCTGTCTAAACTTAGAGGGCTGCTCACAGTTAAGGCTCAATTATTCATTTACCCTTGAAAAGCTATAATTTAAGTGCAACTTGTAGCAACACAATAGCAATTCTTTTCTGAGGACTTTTTAAACAAATGTTTGTTTTTTTTGTTTATTTTTCATGAAAAGCAGAAAAATAAAAAGTGGAAAGCAAACAATGTGTTTGACTTCACTTAGACCTATTTGTCATATATTGCCTTTTAACACAGAATTCATGAATATTTAGTGACTTTATGACTGTACACAAACCTAATTTTAATGATTCCATACAGAGATTATCTTTTTTTTTTTTTTTTTTTTTTGTTTGCAGGATAGAAGTAGAGCCACAATAGTAGTAATATTGGTCAACTGAAATGGGGTTTTAATGGCCAGAGTGCAGGGTAGCTGATCTACAGGGAGGCCCAAAAGTCTGAAACCATGTTGAGAATATGATATTTTCTTCCTGGAAAAGGGTAAAGTGTTCATTTATGTTGTTACATACAAATAATTCAATTCATTTTTATTTCTAGTTTAGTAATTATGTAAATTTGTCTCATTGACCATGGGACCTCCTTTGTACAAAAGGTCAGATTTTCTTGCCTCTATATATATGTGTGTGTGTGTGTGTGTGTGTGTGTGTATACAGGCGCATCTCAAAAAATTTGAATATCGTGGAAAAAGTTTTGTAACATTTCAAAAAATATATTCTAGATTCATTACATGCAAAGTAAAACATTTCAAGTTTTTTTTTATTTTGATGGTTAGAGCTTACAGCTCATGAAAGTCAAACATCCAGAATCTCAAAATACACAATCTCTATATTTTTATGAACACATTTATTCCATTCTGTGTGATTATTTGAATACTAACATTTCATTCAAACAGATAATCTGTTCAATCCATTTTGATGCCAATAATTTATATTTATGCTTCTGACAGACATGCATTGCATTGAAAACACCTATTTAAAATAATCATACAATATCAGTCATTTAATGGTTAATATAGTACCTAATGGCTCTGTTTTAAGTTTATTTCAGTTTTTTTACTCCGTGATCTTGTGCAGAATTGAAATATTAACTACTTATTTTTCCTGTATACAAACCTAAATGAATCGATACCACCTTTCAGGTAAGAGTGCATTTGTCTGACCTTCCTTAATCCTTACAAGATGATAAATGGGCTTCATTTGCATTTAGACTAAAAAAAAACAAACAATGCTAAAAGCTGCTGGTTGTGAAGAACTGTGATCATAAAGAATACAAATATTCTCAAGTTCGAAGTTACAAAAGCCTTTATTAGTATTCTGCATTTTTGTAATTCATACATTATGCTCAGCATTAAGATCTCTGTGCTTGGGCGTTTAATCTCCGCCCATAGGGGAGCTGGACATCAAGCTCTGTCCATTGGCTCTGCAGCGAGGACCTTCTCTTCAAAACATCTCATTTTGTTTTCCACAGAACCAAGTCACACAGGTTTGGAACAACATGAGGATGACATGGAGTTAATGACAGAATTTTCATTTCAGGGTGAACAGTCCCTCTAATGAATCATCCTTTCTACCAGAGGTTAACACTTTAAAATGAAGTATAAAAACATTTTTACAAAGAATATTTACATTTACTCTAGATGCTGAATTGATGCAAAGGAAAAGGGGTTGAACTTGTATCCAGATCCGCTGTAGAATTTGTTCTGAAACTCCACCCTGCATCAAATGGGAAAAATAAATTCAGATGAATTAAACTCTTCATCAAGACTTCGTTTCACGCACTCCTCGAAAATTCAGTAAAGGTGCCAAAATCCTTTATTCATAGATCAGCTTCATAGTGTATATTTCAATGAATATCAACTAATGTAATGTAAACTACTACACTTAAAACTACACATTTGGTGTAGATTCGAGACTAACCACCCCGTCGCCCTTTTGTAAATCACCATGTCACACACAACACACTATACAGCACTTACTGTTATGACTCCATAGCCCTGCAGGGGGCCCTAATTTGAAGCTACTGTATCTGACCGGATTTACTGCTCCCTGTTGAAGAGGAGTGCAGACACAGAGCTTTAAATTAGAAACGCTTCAATAATACAGTGAGGAGCAAAAAAAAAAAAAGACCTCCATATTGTGACATGAAGTGGAGTGACACATTCACAAAATCGTCGTTTCACAAAGAACTGGGGCCAGTTGCATAAACTTAGCCACCATCTTAAGACTATGTCTTAAAAATTAGTTTGACCAACTAGCAGTTGCCAAAGGGTAATCAGTCTTACTTTTCCAATACAAATAAGACCAATCTACCTTTTCATAAACTAGTCTAAACCGTTTATGCAACCGGAATGACATGAGGGTGAGAAATTAATGACAGAATTTTCATTTTTGGGGCAAACTGTCTGTCCCTTTAAGGCCATGAATCAGATGCTTGTCAACTTGAATGATGTCACAAAAACAGTGACTATTAGAAAGAATATTTGGAATGTTTGGTCTTGACATTCTAAATGACTCCTCATTAGGTCAATCCTATGTAATCCATTAAGATACTGTGGTTTACTGGCTGACTAGCACTGTAAGTTTTTTAAATACAGTAAGTTGTAAGGCCCCCCTGTAGGGTTGTGGTGGTGGGGCAGGGGGGAGCCTATAGAGTGGTAAATGGCGGGTGTGCTGAAGTGTGTTTTGTGTGGTGGGGAGTGTGACACCGTGATTGACAAAAAGAGAGACGGGGTGGTTAGTCTCTATCAAATGAACCTTTCTGGTTTATAGCAACCCCACTTGACCCCGTCCTCTGTTTAACAGTTGTTAAATCACTGTTAACACCTGCTATAAACCTCAATCAATGACGTAATAAACTCACATGACATAACTATGATTCCTGTGTTGCTGCCCTGTTGTCATGCAATGTTTACTTACAATGGGACTTGATGAATAAAAATGTGCATACTGCATCTCCATGCCCAGATACATGTTTGTTAATTGTTGCAGAACAGTTATCTCTCACCTGCAAACACTTTCTGTCAGCCTCTGGGCAACACCTGTTTATTTTTATGGTGGTCCATAAAAATGCTGTTTGTGTTCTAAATAATGTACAATACTGTATTTACTATGCATTTACACTTAATGGTTTTTACTAGACAGAAGCGTTTGCTTTTTTCATTAAGAGGAAATGATTCAGTATTATTTTGGAGTGGAAATGGTTTGATTCAGAACTAAAGAATTTTCTCATTTTTGGAGAAATTTAAGTTGGAATTTACATTGAGTCAAGTTAACAAAGCACCAAAGGAAGTGAACTTGGTGAACTGCAATTCAAAGAAATTCAACAGGTAACGGCTTTCTACCCTGGTTCATAAAAACTTACAAAGCCTTCAAACATCAAGACCTATTAAACTTTTTTTTTTTTTTTTTTTTTTAAATAAGGGTGTCAAGCCAACAATCAACGTACATCTTGACAAATTCAGCTTTTTCTAGTTAAAATTTGCAAGTATTTGTAATGTGAATGTCTTCGAATTTCAATTTCTTTAAATCCAATTCAAATGATAGTTCCGATTTGCCACCTCAATTCAAATTCAGTTCAAATCCAGGAACTGAATTGTAATTTTAAAAGCATTCTCCATTTAATGTGTCAAATAGTCACCAAACAGACTAACTAGTCTGTGCAATGTGGTTCTCAACCTTTTTACTCCAAGGCCCACTTTTGTCCAAGTCAATATTTGAAGGCTCTAAAAATATGTAAAATATGTATTTAAAATGTTTATGTACGTTTATTAACACATTAAATGTCAGTTTAATGTTATAAATCTTACCTTTGTTGTTTTTTATCATTTTAATTAAGATAATATAACTAAATCTTACTGGGGCCCCCTAGTGGATCCCGGCCCCTGGTTGAGAACCACTGCACAAGTTGGTTTATTTTTATGCGATTTTCTCACCAGTGCAGACGCAGAGCATGCAGAAAGGCTGACAGCCCCTCCATTACCAGCAGGATAGAGACAGTGAGCATGGCGAAGACAGAGAAGATGACTGACACAACCACAGATCCCACATAGCCTTGCCACGAGAGGGAAATTCTCATCACCATAACCCAGAGAACCTCGGACAGCTCTAATGCACACAAATACAGCACTAATTAAGCATCCACCTTATTTTGCAATGCAGATGTATTTTCTGTGAATGTGCGAGACTTCCAATTCGTTAGCCACTAAACATAAATAACTAGAGGAATAACAAAGTGCAGTAAACACATATTCAAGTTGCAAATGGCTGAACTCACTTGTATGAAAAATTTAAGGTGGATAAGTGAACATGCAATACTCGTGGATGCTTGTGAGTGTTTGCATACGTGCATGTGCGAGGCTGAGGGCCCAAAGTCGAAGGTACGAGGCGGTGTTAGAGATGCAGCCCAGGCAGTATTCTATGGTGTGGATCGCCTGGTGCATAAAAACCTCTGTGCAATCAAACTCCTGTGAAGGTTAAAAAGCATACCATATTTTAGTAGCTGCGCTATGGAAGAGTGAAAAATGAATGCTTTCAACCGGAAGGTTAGTCTTTCACCTTTTTTCTTGACTCTTCTAATGCTGAGCTTTATTTGTGAAATGTGTCTTGATCTTTTCTCTTTCTCACCTGATCCTCTGTTCCTCCTCCTCCTCCCTCTAGGTCTCCTAGTTGAGCATTTATAGAGCTGGTGTCTGTGACTAGGGGGCACTGCTCCTCCTGTAACTGAGAAACAGGGTCAACACCTTTCAACCAGACACAGTATGGGAGAAATTGCAGTGCTTAATGGGGAGAGTTGTTGAAAGGACACTCTTCATTTCAGCTAAAAGAGCCACATTCCCTTATTGGTAAGGGCATCTGTTACATCTGTAAAGAAGACTCGTACTTGAACTTATTTAACTTTTTATTGTTCTCGTCAACTTTACTGAACTGCATAAACTGAACACTCACATCACTGAACTGCGTGAACTGCGTTAGACTGAACACTCACATCACTGAACTGCGTGAAAATCATTAGTGTCAACGTCATTGCTCATTCCAAACTCTTAAAGTGACCAGCGCTCTTTATATCTTATCAATGTAACAAACACATTACTTTAATTGAACACCAGATTATAAGTCTACCTAAACATGCAACACATCACCTGGTCACTCTGGAATATG